TAGTACCGACTACAATCGGCTATCCACGCAAGTCATCGGGGTGCCCATAACCGTCCTATCATTCGGACGTTGGCGCGATTATATTATCGCCACATTCACAATCATATCCCATACGGGTGGCACCCGACACGGATCGGATGACCCGTAGATGGGACGCAATCTCGCAAACATCATGCCATCATTCACAAACGTCCGTTTCTACAATCACGCGCTAAACGTTAATCCGAACCCTTCCCCGACACGGATCGGATGACCCGTAGATGGGACGCAATCTCGCAAACATCATGCCATCATTCACAAACGTCCGTTTCTACAATCACGCGCTAAACGTTAATCCGAACCCTTCCTAATTAACGCTAGTGTCATGCCAGCTACCCCAATCACATGCATTAATATAGTTTATTTACTATACATGCATTTCCGCTTGCATAGTCTTTTATATTTCTTTATATATTTTCTTTCAGTCTTTTCATTGATTTTACCGAATTGTACCTCCGGTATGACTTAGCTGGTCCCGGTCCGCCCAGATAACCAGTTCGGTTCATTCCGTGGTTTTTAACCTTACCTGTTATTAATTTTGGGTCCAGACTACGTGGGGTCGGGTCTGGCCCGTAATTCCGGTATAATTTATATTTTTCACTTTTTCATAATTTTAGCCATGGTCATATTAGACCCGTCTTATCATGTTTTTCAATTTTCCTCATGGGGTCGGGTCTGGTCCAGTGGTTCGGAACGGACGTTCCGTCTCGTCCAGAACGGACGGTCTGGTTAGAACGGACGTTCCGGACTTCTTCTTCAACCTCTGGACTTCTGTATTTCTCCTGCAGACCTAGAACGGACGGTCTGACCTCAGACCGGACGTTCTGGTCCTCGGATCTCGCCAGAATCACTCAAACATGCACGATTCACTATGTGTATTACACTAAAACTCATAGAATTGCAAGTAGAACACGAATCAGACATCAATTTTACACGAAATCATCCAAAACCCAAAACCCCATGTCTAACAGACTTCCGAATTAAACTCGAATTCACTCACCTCCGGTTAGATTCGCACGTTGGGTGATGGATGAGAAGCTTGAGGATGTTTCTCTTGCTCTGTAGAAACCGATTTGGGGGTGAATCCTTTGGATTTGACAGAGAATTTCGGAGTTGAAGTTTGAGAGAATGGAGAGAGAGAACAGAGAGAGAGAGAACTCGGATTTTTGATGAAATTTCCGGATTCAGAACGAAATGATGGAGTCTAGGGGCCATAGGGTGGAAAAATCGGAATTATTGTCGAAGATTGGTGGGTAAACGTCGTTTTCAGGTCGGACCTAGACGAAATCGCGGTTTGGCTGCTGCCGACAGTCTGGTCCGTCCGTTCTGCGGTCTGGAACGGACGTTCCGGTCTGTGCGAGCGGTTCGTCCGTTCTGGGTCTTCCAGAACGGACGTTCTGAGTTTTTTTTTTTTTTTTTTGAAAACTGGGTTGTTACAATCTACCCCCCTTAAAATGAATTCGTCCTCGAATTCGAATGGACCTAAATTGAAGTTACATTCCAAGTAGATGGGGTAATGATTGCACACATCATTCTCCGGTTCTCGATGCATTCTGTATCGTATTCCACGGTCTCGTAGTAAGGCGAGGATCTCTGTCAGAGATAATCTCACTCGGTACTCCATGTAATCGGACGATTTCATCCACATAGATTTCAGCCAATCTCTCAACTGTGTACTCTTGCCGGATTGGTATAAAATGTGCCGATTTGGTTAATCGGTCCACAACCACCCAAATTGCATTATTCTTCTTTAGAGTCGTTGGTAGTCCAACCACGAAATCCATCGCTATAGAGTCCCACTTCCACTCCGGAATCTCTAATGGTCGTAACTTTCCTCCAGGCATCTGTCGTTCAGCCTTTACTTACTGACACGTCAGACATCGCGCAACAAAATCTGCGACGTCCTTCTTGATGCCGGGCCAAGTGTACCACAGTCGTAGACCTCGATACATCTTGCTAGCTCCTGGATGGATCGCTAATCTGGACTGATGAGCTTCTTGCAAGATCTTCCGTCTCAGCTCCCTGTTATCCGGTACACAAAGCCGGTTATGCAATCTTAATGCCTGTGCGTCATCCAACTGATACCCCTTCTCGCGGTATCGTTCAATCTCCTGTATGTACTTCAAAAGTTCAAGGTCGTTGCGCTGTTCCGAAATTACCCGTGCTCTCAGATCTGGAAACTGTTCATCCTCTGCAACAGTCAAATGACCCAGTATAGCCGACAACTCAGCTATATTCTCCTGTGATAAGGACAATACTCTGATAGCAGATAATATCTTCTTCCTGCTCAACCACAACGTTTGCTTTACCTGGATGGTAAGCAATTTCCAAGTCATAATCGGCCATCAGTTCTAGCCATCGTCTTTGTCGGAGGTTCAAATCTTTCTGTGAGATGACGTGGGTTAAACTCTTATGGTCGGTGTTGAGTTTAACCTTCTCACCGTAAAGATAAGATCTCCAAATTTTCAGAGCGTAAATTATCGCGGCTAGCTCCAGATCATGAGTCAGATAGTTCTCTTCGTGTCTTTTCAACTGTCTGGACGCATATGCTATTACGTGTCCCTCTTGCATCAGCACACAACCTAACCCTTGTCTCGATGCATCTGTATATACATCATACGGAATACCTGGATGTGGTAATGCCAGAATAGGTGCAGTGGTCAACCTCTTCTTGAGTTCCATGAAACTCCTCTCACAATCCTCTGTCCATTCGAAGCGCACATTCTTTCCCGTCAGTTTCGTCATGGGCTTTGCCAGTTTAGCGAATCCCTCAACGAACCGACGGTAATAGCCTGCTAACCCCAAGAAACTTCGAATTTCGGTTGCATTGGTAGGCGTCTTCCAATCCATTACTGCCTCGATCTTTGCCGGATCAACCTGGATCCCTTGCGCAGAAACTACGTGACCAAGGAATCCAATTTCTTGCAACCAAAACCCACACTTGCTGAATTTAGCGTATAACTGATTATCCCGCAATCGCCATAAAATCTTCCGCAAGTGTTCTTCATGCGTCTGTTGGTCCGGTGAATATATCAAGAGATCGTCAATAAAGATTATGACGAACTCATCAAGATAATCCATGAACACGCGGTGCATTAACTGCATGAAGACCGCTGGGGCATTCGTCAATCCAAATGGCATGACCACAAATTCAAAGTGACCGTACCTAGTTCGAAAGGCAGTCTTCTGAATATCCTCAGCCTTTACACGGATCTGATAATACCCAGAACGCAAGTCGATCTTAGAAAACCACTTCGCTCCTTGCAACTGGTC